ACAATTTTACTTCTCTATTTATATGTGGAAATGCTCATTTCACTTGCAAAATAGAAAATTAAAATGTCACTTTTTATGATTATGATGTTATAACAGAAATGTAGGAGTGTGAAATTTGTAATGTTATAGACAAATTTAGTATGAAATGCAAATATCACAGCAGAGTGGGCTGGGTATCCAAATCTTAGCTGAAATTCCCTGAAAGGGTCCCTCTGGCAGGCTACTTCAGCTGATGAAAGGAACCTAGTGTCAGGAAAGAGAGAAAAGTGGGCAATAATATTAAGGGGTTGGGCAGTTTAAACTTCATAAAACTTCTTCAGCTTTCCTAGGAAGCTGTTGATGAATTTGAATATTTACAATTGCAGGTTCTCCCACTGTAGTTAGCGTGTACTTGATGGTTAATATACTAGCTGTTACTTGGGATAATGTAGATTACTGTTTATGATAACTGTGACAGCTCGAAGACATTTGACAACCTGCAAATCTGATTGCTTCAATCTTCTGCTCAGAATCCTCCAATGAATCCCAGTGCCAAGAAGATAAATCATTCATCATTCATTGGTTTGCTCATCTCATGCCTTCATTTTTTCCCCCACAATTAATTGTTAGATAACAGGCCCTGTACTGTATGATGGAGATACAACAGTAAAGAAAACAGACAAGGGAGTCCCAGAATTCTTAGAACCTACATCTTATGGGGAGGACAGAAATTAATCATTTTAATATTTTCACAGTACATCAATTCATGTTTTTCTTTGACCTCCCACCCACGGTCATGTTCCCAACATTGAATCATGTTCCCCTACAGTCACTCCACTAATACAGTCCCAGGGAGGAGGAAATGATGAATGTCTCTTATGGAGGAAACAGATTATAAAAGGGAAACCCTCCTTAGACAGGAAGATGAAGTAAAAGGAAGCATATTTCATTAAAGGCAGACTGTGGAAGGATGCAGTAGAAACCTCCAGGTAAGGAGGATGGAGACCTGAGACTATAAGAGCTTGGTAGCAGGCAACAAACCCAAAATCTCCAGATTTGAAATTTGGTGTGCCTTAGTTCTTATTCCTTGCTCTAACAAATTATCACAATTTAGTGTTTTAGAACAATAAATTCATTCTCTTACAGCCTTAAATTCCTAGGATATTCTTCAGTTACGCAGAAACAGAGGAAAAACTCTATCACAAGTTTAACACAAATTAATGCTTTGATAATTTCAAAGCATTGAGGAAATTATGTATTGAAACTTAATCCCTATTGTGGAGGTTTGAAGAGAGCTCCACCTTCACAAATGAGTTAACACCCTTATAAAAGAGGTTTCAGAGAGAGTGTCTCCCTTTCTGTCCTCTGCCGTCCCCCGTGTAAGCACATAGCATTTGTCCCTGCCACAGACAGAAAAACTAGGTGCCATTTTGAAAGTAGAAAGAACAGTCCTCAAACCTGCTAGCACCCTGATCTCGGGTATCCCAGTCTTCAGAACTGGGAGAAATAAGTTTATATTGTTTACAAATTACTCAGTTTGTGGTTGCTTTGGTTCGGATATGGTTTATCCCCTCGGAAACTCATGTTGAAGTGATTGCCATTGTAGTGGTATTGGGAAATGAGGCCTGTCAAAGATTATGAAGACTTTAAGAGGGATTAATGTCTTTTTAGCAACCATGAGAGTGAGTTGTTATCAAGCAAGGGTGTTATCAAACACTGTGTGTTCAGCTCTTCAACACTCACCTACTTGGCCTTTCACCTTCCACCATGTTATGACTTCTTTGCCAGATGCCACATTTATGCCCTTGGACTTCCTAGCCTCCAGAGTCAAAAGCAAGAATAAACCTCTAATCTTTGTCAATCATCCAGACTCAGGTATCCTATTATAGTAACAGTAGTATTTTATTATAGTGACACAAATGAACTATGACAGTTAAAGGACATTTTTAAATTTGTTATATTCACATTTCTAAAAAAAAAGTTAAAACATATTTCAAAAATAAAATTAAAACCAGACATTTGTGAAACATCTGAACCATTTTCACTGGTTTTTACAGAATACCACATCAAAAAAGTTGATCTATATAAATAGTTTTATATAAATTGATCAACATAAATAGTTCTATGGCAATTCAAGTTCTAATATCCAATACATCTATAAAATTGGTCTTAATTCTTTCACTATCTTCAAATTTTTATTTGCCAAGAAAATTCTATGTTTAAAGGAAAATATATTTACTTAATAATCAAAATTGAAAAAGTTTAGTTCGTTCTCATCATATCTGTTTTCTTTGCCAAGAAGTGTCCTGATTTTCAGTTGAAAATCTGAAGTACAAAAGCAGGATTATAGGAGTCATCAAATAAATTTATTTCAAGGAGTAGCTGCATGTAACACTATCCTGAATGAAGAAAATTAAAAGTCAGAAATGGAAACTTTCAGACAATTAATTTGAACATTGTGCTAACCCTGGTATCTCTCTACACCTACTGTACCTTTTTAGGTTCTAGTATAGGCTGAACTTTGTTCTAACCTGTTAGAATATCCTCTATTCCTGCAACTCCTTACTGGACAGAAAGATCATAGTAGTTTAACAAATATTCTCCCCATATACCCTGAATTCTAAACTGGTAAAATAAGCTACTATTGGGGTTGGGACTGTGGCTCAGCAGTAGAGTGCTCACCTAACACATGTGAGACCCTGGGTCTAGTCTTCAGCACCACATATAAATAAATAAAATAAAGGTATTGTGCCCACCTACAACTATATCCTTCTCTCTGAAGCATGAACTCCTAATTGAGAACATCACTGACAAGTTGGGTCTGCACCTGCCCACGTATGTCATGTGCACTTTCATTGTGCACATACAAAATCATATAACTCCTTGTATAAGAAAACCTAATTACAAGGCAAGATGCTTCCACCAGCTGTAGCAGCAAGTCTATTTATGGACATTCTTCCTTAGAGAATATCTTAAATTAAAATGAGATTGCCAGCTATGCAAGGAAACTACCCACAGAAGCTGCTTTGGCACTGACTTGAGCACAGAGGAAATAGTTGTCAAACCCACTAGCTACTGCTTCTTGGAGGCAGTGTTCAAGAACTATCTCAAAGGTTGTGCTAAAATTACATAGACTTAAAAAATTCAGTGAGTAGATGAAGAGTATTACTGGTCTCAAAGAAAAGTTTTAATGATGCCTGAAGATTACAGATTGCCTTATACAAGAATGGCAATGATATCCATCAATTAAACAGGGCATGATAGTGCATATCTGTAATCCCAGCTACTCAGAAGACTGAGATGGAAGGATCTCAAGTTTGAGGCCAGCCTGGGCAACATAGACCCAGTCACACACACACACACACACACACACACACACACACACACACAAATCAATTATGAAGTTAAACTTGAGTTCAAGTTGCATTCCAAACAGTACTATTCATTTTATTTGTTATTCTCTATAAGAGTGGTTCATCATGTCCAATACCCTCCCTGTGCTACATTCCATGAGGGAATTGATAAAGGATTATCAAAATCCAAATTCTTAACATCACCAGAACAACTAGTCGATAAGACAAAAGTGACTTTATTGCTCACGGTTGTAAGAGAGAACTCTACCTCAACAGAATCTGATAGTTTCTCAGAGAAGAAAAGATAAGATTTGATTTATAAAGATTCTGCAGTCTAGTTTAAGGCAGGTCCATAAGTGCAGGAGTTAGGGCAATGGGGATAAATTGTTTCAGTTCTCAATATTAAGAGCCCAGAGAAGGGAAGATGGATTCTAAAAAGCTGTTAGGCTCTCATAAAGTCTTTGTAGATAAGATGGAGCAATGTGGCTTATCTGATTTTGTGCTTATGACTAAGCCTAGCAGTAGCCCTTGTTGAAGCATCGGGTAAGCATCACTGATAGGATTTAAGTTCCATCAACTGAATTGGGAGAAGCCAAAAAGTAGCAGGAAGATCTGCAGAGGGTTTAGACAAAGTTTTTAAAGCTGAGAGCAAGCTGAAAATGGAGATCATTTGGTAATTCTGGAGTTAGGAGCAAGGCTGGGGGGAGGGGGGGTGCAAAAAAAAAAGAGGTCTCAAACTGAACAGAAACAAAATGCAACCTGATTGAGCATAGTGTGCAGCTAAATCAGGAGGAAGGGCCTGGATGTTTACTGGGTTGGAATGCACATACTTGAGGCTGTTCTTCATTGGCTTTCAGATTCCTAGTGCTTGGATAAATCAAGTTAGCTTAATGGTGCAGATTTAGAGCAGAGAGCCACCCTTCATTCCACCCCAGCCCAAATCCTACATTACTATTTAGGCCTCACCCAATCAAACAGTAGATTGGGTCTGCAGCATTCTCAAGTTTGTTTTGTACAAAGCATGACATGGTTGGGAAGCTCTTCCAAGTATGGAAGAAGAACTATTTCCCATGAATCCATAAATGCTTCTCTCAACCAGATCCTTACCCGTCCCTTAGGGATTGGAGTAGTCTATATTGCTTCTCTTCTATCCTTTTACTTTCAACATACTGCATCTTTGTCTGTTGTATATCTCCTTAGCATAATGCTGGGTCATGTTTTGTTTTTTTTTTAATTCAGTGTAACAATCTGCCTTTTGATTGGATTATTTAATCCATTTATTTTTTTGGTAGTTACTTAGGATCAAACTTGGAACTTCATTCATGCTAGACAAGTTCTCTGCCACTGAACTACGTTCACAGTCCTTTTTTATTTTTATCTTGAGATGGAGTCTTGCTAAATTGCAGAAGCTAGACTTGTACTTGCCATCCTCCTGCCTCGGCTTTCCAATTAGCTGGGATTACAGGTGGTGCCACCAGGTCCATCGATCCCTTTATTTTTAATACTTCACCCCATCATGTGGGTATCACTTCACATCATCACAAGAAGAAAAGTGATATCATGATAACAAGATATTTTGAGGCCAGCCCGGAGGGGGAGGCTCGAGGGAATGCAGCACAGCTTGGCCAGAGTGGGCTACCAAGGACCACCAGGGAGAGGAGTGTCCGGATGGCCCATTCTTGGACCAGGGAATACAAAGTAGGCAACCTGGTCTTTGCCAAGGTGAAGGGCTACCCACACTGGCCGGTGCGGATTGATGAACTCCCAGAGGGAGCGATAAAGCCTCCAGCAAACAAGGATCCTATCTCCTTTTTTGGCACTCATGAAATTGTGTTTCTAGGTCCCAAAGACCTTTTTCCATAGAAGGAATAGAAAGACAAGTTTGGGAAGTCAAGCAAACGGAAAGGATTTGATGAAGGATTGTGGGACATAGAAAATAACCCAGGTGTCAGGTTCACTGGATACCTAGAAATTTGGCACAGAGCTCCTCAGAAACTGAGGGAGAAGGTGGAAACACTTCAGATGCAAGCAGTGAGGAAGAAGGCCACAGAGTAGAAGAAGATGAGAGAGGTAAAAGAAAAAATGCAAAAGGGGGCTCCAAAGGGAAAAACTCACATACATCAAAGAAATCCTCTGAACAATCCTGGAAATCTCGAGGAGATGCAGATGATAAAGATTGCAAAGAAGAAAACAAAGACAGCTCTGAGGATGGAGATGCTGACAATGACACAAGGACCACTTCACATTTGCAGAAAACCAGTGAAGGGACCTAAATACCCTAATGAATGCTGCATATTAAGAGAAACCACAGAAGGTTAAATGTTGTCTAGTATTCTTGGATTTGATATGAACCAACACATAGTCCTTGTTGTCATTGACAGAACCCAGTTTGTATGTACATTATTCACATTCCTCTTTGTTTTGTTGGGAAAAGAGACATTTTAATCTTTTTTAAAAGGTTATTGATTTAATCTCATGTTATTTGGTTGCATGAAGTTGCCCTTAACCACTAAGAATTATCAAGATTTTTGCACAGACTTACACATGTCTAGGATCCTTTTACCAAGGCAGTTATGTTCATCATTTTTCTGCCTTTACCCCACCACCACCACCAAACACTTGATTACATATTAATCAGCATTATTTTAGAGGACCACTCCATAATGCTTAAGGATGGGATTTCTTCTTTTTGACAGAACCCAGGAAGTAATTCCTAGACACATAATGTTGGTATATCAAAAATGAAATTAAAATTGCCCTTCAGTTATGAGGCCCTGTGTAAAGTTTTAACCATATTGTACATCTATTTTGTATTAGAAATAGCTAGTTGACAGCTTATACTTCTCAGAACTCAAGTCATTATGTTTCACGTATAGAAATAAATTGTTTCTATATGTGAAGTTAGTGAGTATTTTTGTGTTACTTCAGAAAAAAGGCAATGATTTATTTTTTTTCCCAATGCCAACACAATTTGAGCTAATTATGCAAGATGGATACTTTACATTTTAAGGCTGTACTCACCAGCAGCAGCCCTGCAGGAAACCACACAAAGCACTGACTTTTAAGTAGAGAATTTTAAAATGAACTATTTTCTTTTGGAACTACAATTAGAATATAGTTAATATTTGCCCATAAACCATTATTATTTGTACATTATTGTTGCTATTGGGATAATAGAGAATTTTATTTATTTTTATGCAAGCTTATATTGTGAAAACACATTTAGTCAATTTGAGTTTTATCAATCCTGTTATACTTGTCCTTGGAACATTTTTTTGTGTATTCAAGGTTTGTAGTTGAAGAGTTTACTGTAAAAAAAAGAAAGAAAGAAAGAAAGAAAAGAAAATCAAAAACAAAAAAAGTATTGTTTTTATAGAATAAGTTTATTGGACTATGCAAAGAATATATTTTGGAAAATAAAAAGATCATATTCATATAACTTTTATTAAAATATATTGTTATAATTGTTCTGTTTTATTATTAAGTAGTATTGATATTTTACTGTGCTTAGTTTATAAATGAAACTTTATCATAGATATGAATATACAGGAAAAACATCGTTATACAGGATTTAGTACTATCCATGGTTGCAGGCATTCAGTGGGGGATATTGGACATATTCCACAGATAAGGAGAACAACTGTATTTTGTACATGTTGTCCCATTGCTTCCTGGCTTCTATTGTTTGTGCTAAGAAGTTGTCTGTTAATCCTCTTGGTGTTCCCTGGTATATGATAAATTGTTTTCTCTTTTTGCTTTCAAAATTTTCTCTTTGTCTTTCAACATTTCAACTATAGTTTGCATGAATCTTTTAGGGTTTATCCTACTTGAAGTTCATTGAACAACTCAAATGTATATAATAATATTTTTCATCAGTTTTTGGAAGTTTTCAATTATTATTTCTTTGAACTTTTTTTCTGTTACTTTCCTTCCTTTCTACTACTTGTATGTTGTGATAAAAGGTGCCCCACATTTACCTGAGACTCTGCTCAGTTATTCAATTCTTTTCTTTCTCTCTTCTTCAGACCAAATAATCTCTATTGGACTCATTGTTCTGTCAGCTCAAACTTAACATTGAGACCCTCTAGCAAAATTTTTTATTTCAGTTACTAAACTCTAGAAATTCTATTCCTTTCCAAAATTGAAAGTTCTTATTTTTATAACTTCTATTTCCTTATTGGTATTCTCTATTGGATGAGACACTGTCATCATGCCTTCCCATAATTCTTTGGATCTGGTTTACTTTTGTTCCTTTAACATATTTATAATAGCTGCTTTGAAGTCTTTATCTTCAATTTCCATATGCACTCCTTCACAGGCAGTTTTATTGCCTGCTTATTAGTAATATTTCCCTGTTTCTTTGCATGCCTTATAATCTTTTGTTTAAAACTGAATATTTTATATAATGCATTGCAACATCTCTGAGTACTGATTTTTCCTCCATCTGGGGTTTGTTGTTGTTTCCTTGAGTCCTTGAGTCCTTTTTTATTTGTTTAGTGACTTGACTAAAGATGGATTCATTGATATGTCTTTATTCTACAGTGTACAACCCCTCAGAAAAAAATAACATTGGAAATTCACACTGTCTCCCTAAGCTTCTAAACTGGGACTTATATTCTATTGATATCATCCCATTTGTAAGCCACCATTAATTGCTAGCTGATTGTTCTATTTCTTTGGACAATGCTCTGAGGCATAAGTGCCCCATAATCTGATCCAAATAATGTAGGACCTCTTTGCTGTATTGATTTATTGACATGTCTTTTTCCCAGTGTACAACTCCTGAGAAAAAGCAGACTTGGAAGGGCACGTTGTCTCCCTGAGCTTCTAAACTGGCATTGATACTCTATTGATACCACCCCATTATAAGCCACCATTAATTGCTAGCTTGTTGTTCTATTTTTAAATAATGATTTGAGGAATGAGGGCCCCCCAATATGATCTGATCTTTGGGTTCCTTTGCAAGGGCAGGATGTTGTCAATCTTTGAGATTTGCTTTAATCTCAGCTTCTTAGCTGTATCTTTCTCTGGTTCTCTCTGTTGAACTTCCAGCTGATCTACCATTTTGCTTGTGACTGAATATGGAGCTACTAGACTGATCTTAATTAGTCATTACAAAGATCTATGCTGTTTTAAACAATGCCCTTAGGCACAAACCCCTACTAAGTGAAGGCAACAAGGAACAAGGCAAACACTGAGGTGAAAGAGTCATAGAGGTGAAAAGAGGCCTTTACTAGAGGTGGTCCTAAGATACGTATTTTGTCATTTTTTCTTCTATGATAGCCACCGATTTGTGTCTAGCATAGTAATAAACTCTTAATTTACAAAATCCTATTTAATTCTACACACATGCTCTGAATCTTGTACTACTACCAGCTTCATTTTACAGATTTAAAAAAAAAAAAAAGAGCAGAGCATGGTGACTTATTCCTGTAATTCCAGCAAAGGAACATTAAGGCAGGAGAATCACAAGTTCAAGGTCAGTCTCAGCAACTCAGTGAGGCCCTAAGCAACTTAGTGAGAACCCATTTCAAAATAAGAAATAAAAAGGGCTGATGGTGTGGCTCAGTAGTTAAACTCCTCTGGGTTCAAACAGAACAAAACAAAAAAACCCTTGAAACTCAGAAAGGAAAAACTTCTCTAAGGTTACAAAACAAGTAATAAAATGAAGATTCAAATCCAGGTTTATCTAACTCTAAGAAAACCATTCTAAAATGTCATAGTATGTGGGTATACCTGAGAGTTGCATAAGGCAGCACTGTCTGTGAATTCTCAGAACATGAAGGACTCTTCTTGCTAAGACTGGATTCTTGAATCCAGGGCCTTGTGCATGCTAAGTAGGTGCTCTAACACTGAGCCACATCCCCAGCCCTGGAAACCTGTCTCTGAACAGTGGTCTGTGCTTTGGGCAGGATTCAGATTCAAATTTCTCAACCAGGTTAAAAGGGTTTCCTAGGGTATCCCTGAATGGGTTTGAAGTTGCCTATAATCTCAGAAATATAATAAACATTTTTGTGTAGAGTATAATTTTAACCTTGAACTTTGTCATTTGTAATTGATGTCCAGTGGGAAATGGAGTCTTTCCACAGGCAGAGTAGATTCATGTAATGTCTGTGCATCGTTCATATGTAGCATTTACAATATCCATGAACACAGAATTCTAATGAAACTGTGACATATGGAAGTTCAGCAAGACTACAAGTGAAGAAAAGATAAACATGTTGTAAAACCCACTGACTTCCACAGGGTTTTGGTAGATGTGCAGAAATCAAGAAGTAAAATAAAATAATACTGGGTGAAGTGGCACCTGCCTGAAATCCCAACAACTAGGAAGGCTGAAGCAGGAGGATCACAAGTTCAAGGCCAGTCTCAGCAACTAAATGACAGCCTATCCCAAAAAATAAAAAGATCTGGGTATGTAGCTCTTGGTAGAATGCTTCTGGGTTCAGTCCCCAGTACCAAAAAAAAAAAAAAGAAGAAGAAGAAAAGAAAAGAAAGAAGGAGACAGAGGGGAGGGGGAGGAGAAGTAAAATTAAAATTGTTGTCTTAGTTTGATTCAACATTTTCAGCGTTCTGGCAACAATGAAGTGAGTATGCATAAATGAGCTCTAAAGTATGAACTGTATAATGTTGGTGATTCTGTATAAAAGTTAAATGCTCTGATATTTCCATTTAAAACTGACAATGCACGATGGACATAAAATTTATGCAGATTTTAAACTTTTAACTTTCCTTTATTTATGACATTAAATAGCAAATAAAAAAAAAGACATCAGAACAAGTTGGGGGAGAGGAGGGGAGAAGAGAGAAACTATAGTAAAAAAGGGAAAGCTTTATATTTCAGTACCTTTAACAGCATTCTTTCCCTATTTTTTGAACAAGGGACCTACATTTTCATCTGATACTGTGCCATGCAAATAATGTAGTCAGTCCTATTTTTAACAAGCCTCCCAGTTATTCTGACGAAAAACCAGGATTGAGAGCCACTGGAGCAGAAGACCTTATTAAGTCCCCGTGGCTGCTGAGACTGCGCGGGACTGAGTATCGGATGGGCCCCTACTGCCCTCCAGCGACGACGCTGCACTGGTGCATGGTGTACTAACCGGCTTCTGAGCTCTGGCCTTCTTGCTGCCTGATACTGCTCTGGGGTTTCCAGTCAACCTCCCCGGTAATTTTGGTTCTTGCTCATTAATAACGATGCTCAGGTATAAAAGTGGTGATGTATGTCTGTCCCCAGCACCTTGGAACATCCTAGCTATTTATTGGTAAGGCTCGTGGCAAACATTGGTGGCACGTCTGTCAGGATTTTTCTTCCCAAGGAAAGAATGTAAGAATCGGTAGCCATAAACATAAACCTGAAGAAATTTGATGTCGATAACTGTGGCACTACAGCATTATAATGGAATCAGGCTCTGGATTAAGCAATGTTCCTAGAAACAAATGAATAAGTATCCTTCACAGCTGAGTGGCCCTCCAGAGTCCCCAGAGGCTCTTCATGTACTCCCCCGCACCCCCCCCCCCCACCCCCCCACCCCCCACTCCCCCCACTCCCGTGGTTTGCTGTTCAAGCTGTGAGGCAGGTGGGCAGATGTGAGGATCCATACCCACATCATTAAAAATAGCAGGCCTAGCTGTGCATCATGTGAGAGTGCCCTTGTTTAGGAAGACTCTGATCCCGCCTTCTTGTTCTCATGGGCACCT